AAATTTGCAACCCCCTCAAATTGAGGGGGGTTAAAGCTTTGTGCAATTATAATTTTTGAACACTAAGAGATTATTGTATGAAATTTAGAATTTATCGATGAATATAAATTTACTTGAGAATTGAACAAAAAATATTTTATCAACTTGTTGCTCTCTTGTTTGGGGTTTGTGTGGCCAAAATTTTGGGGCTTTTTTGTTCCCAGACTCCAATCATCGCAATTTTTTGCAAATCATCTTTATTTGACATAAGTATAAACATATAAATTTTTGGGGTTTGTACCATGTCTGGAAGTTAGTTATCTCAAACATCAAAAAAATGCTGGATCCGCGCCTGATATATATATATATATATATATATATATATATATATATATATATATATATATATATATATATATATATATACATATATATACATTTCCACATCTTTCTTGGTGTTGTTGCTGACAAAAAAAATTGAAGAAAGCCAATCCTACTAAACATTCATTAAAATACCAGAGATGGAGATAAAAAGTTTTTGCTGCAGCAGTTGCAATTGTACAGTTTGAATATACTTGAATCCGGTGAAGAACCTTGACATCAATGAATGATGCTTCTGTCCGTTTTTTATCACCGTAGATTCTAACAATAAAACGTTCAATCTTATTAACTGTTAACAGATCAGGTAAAGCTTCTGATTAACCAAGATTTGATAGTGCAGCTAGGCTTCCATTGTTAGCTTTTATAAATTCTTTCCACCATGATTTTTTAGTGATTCCAGAAAAGCGTCTAATTTAATCACAGCCAGTAAAAACGTAAAAATCTAAAGAAATGAAAAATTTCACGAAGACCCTTAGGTTGTGCTTGGTTAGAACTAATTGCTTTGTAACATTTCTGATTTCAGATATCTCGCTCCTTATTCCTTTTACCAGTTCGTAAAATTGTGACACGTAGCAGGGCTTGATAAAAATGAACTAAAAGTAGAAATCGTCAGTATCTGGTGAATGGACAGTGTCTTTTTTTTAATGAATTATCTTTTGCAACGTCTATGGCATGCAGAATTAACAGAATGTCAGCCTCTTTGTAATCATGATTTATCATTTCTGCAAATATATGTATCGGGCGTATAGGCATGATCAAGGTTCATATTACAATACTACTATTTGTTTTAAATATAATAAGCCGATGTCAATTAGCTTATCAATTATACATACACATTTATTACAGTGAACAATTCACATGTTGTGATGGAATGAAAATAGTACTACAAACAATAAACAACATAAGTATTACCTTCAAAGTTTTAATTCTGTTATCTTTATGAACTTTATTGACCAAGGCCATGCCATCAATAATGATGCATTTCCTGAGATTTATTGTTCCTGTTTCGAAATCTCTAATCTTTTTGACAAGTCTTCAACTTCATGCAGAATATTTTCTTTTTCAGAGGTGATCAATGGGTGACAATCTTGAGTAAACATCAATTCTGGTACAACTAAAAACTCATAGCTACCAATGCTTTTTTCTTAAATCAAGCTCTGGGCGTTTTCTAGCACTTAATAGAAAACGAGATAATAACGTACGCTCTTCTTTTAGTTAAATTACTTTATTATCTACATTTTTACCACTTTGGCTTGATTTTGAAATGTTTTCAGATTTCTCATCTTCATTGGCGACAATATAGATATTTCTTCTTTTAACCTTTCAGTAACAAAAAAACGGTAGAGGTCTTCTCCAATCTTTCCATGATGAAATAATTCATCTGAACTTCTTTTAGCAAATTATTTTTGCACACAAGATTAAAAACCACTTGATTTTTGTTGAATTTGATGCCAAATGTATCAAATGTATCAATGACTTTTTTTACATTAGATGAAATTTTTTCATTTGTAGATTCCAACAGTTGGTAGTGTTGTTTACAAAATTGTGATCCAATACTATTTTTTTTTTTTTGCAAATTATTTTTGATATGGAGTTTAAAGTAGGAGCACTATGTAAAAACGGTTTAAGCACGTTGGATTTTGTGTATTGCCAACACCCCTCCTGCTACCTTCAGAACCTTGTTTTCCTGTTCTAAGGCATGATCAGAGCCAATGTTACAGAAAGTAATGACTGACCTGTTAACGGTGAAGTTTTTATTAAGATATTGCGAGGAGGCAATGTCTAATTTTTTTAGTTTAATTATTGTAGCAAGATACAGTGTTGAAAAACGCGCATAATTATATTGATCGTGAGCAAAAAAGTAGGGAATCATCGCATCAAGCGACGCAAGATGAAGTTTCCAATGTCCTATGACCGTTTCATATGTTTTTGGTCAAAAATCTGTTCAAGGGTGGTGGGACCGTAAACACCTGTTTCTATCGATATCTGATCAAGTCCACTTCCAATAATGTACTTTTCAATAACTTTTAAAAATGCAATTACGATATGTAGTTCCACAAGTCAAAAAATGAAATTTTCTTAGATCTCATTATTTTGTCGTAGCTGCATAAATTTTGAATAGAGTTGAAGATCAAAGGTCATAATTGTTTTTTAACTCCCTGTGACGACTACGTTTATTCCCTGAACAAGCTTTAATCCGTTAAAATGGTTGCTCCAATCAGTCGGTGTACCTGCATGTATCGGTAGACCCTGAGTTGCTATAGATTTATGAGCATCTGAAAGAAAAGATTTAAAAGCACTACATGTTGGTAATTTAAATTCTATTTCAATCACATTAAAAAAAGCCCTAATTTGATCAATGGTGCAAAATGAAGAAAGATTGGCCAACGAACGTAGAGACTTAAAACCTTGAAAGGTTCCATTTGGTAGATTTGGTATAGCACAACTATGCGTTATAAAGTGCATGTACAAATGTAAGATACTTTGTACACTTGAGCATCTTTCCTTTAGCATTTGAATTATTTTGAATTGCAACACATGTGGTTTCATGTTAGATTTTTCGTCGGCAGTGTTGCTCTTAAAGTCAATATTATCAGTAGCAAAATGCAATGGCATTCCTATTTGAATATTAGGTACAAATGCGGATTGATTTGTTGATATGTTTCCAATAACAGCGTTTCCTAAACCATTTTCGATCTTTATAACACTATTATAGGAAATAGAAAGTCCAAGATATGCCAAGCAGTTAACTAGCTTTTTATTGCGGGTTTCTTTATGCACATGTGATCCGTAAAAGACGACTGTAAAAGGTGTTTCAGTAACATCTCAGAAATCATTATCCGTTTTTGAGCAATGCAAAATTTGCTTATTGCTTTTTGCTGCCTTTGCAATAGTTCGTGAAATGCTATCAACATGGATGGATTTTTTTTAACATAACACGAGTCTACATATTGTTTTGGACCAAGTATAACCCACCTTAGCAAAGAAAAACAAGACGCCAGAGTCAGAACCAGTAAAATTTCCGTCAAACTTCTATTTTCTTTGCTGCAGGATTTCTTTCCGAATTATTTTTGCTGCCTCTAAAACTGTAGTGTAATCATCCGGATTGTTTTTAAAGTTATCTACCGCTTTTGCTTGATATTTGCTAGAGCAAAGCTGTTCGGATTTAGTTGCTATGGAGACCAGCTAAGTCATACCACCTAACACGCAAAATGAAAATCGAGTGAAACCTGTAGTTTTTCAAATCCATATCATACAAGGATCTTTATATCAACAAACAGTTTGCTTGTAGTACGTATGTGCACACGAAGGTACATAGTGGCCTGCACCAAAGCCCCAAAAAAATGCGTCATTATTAGATAATATATAGTTTAACAAAAAAATATAGTTTCAATGTATATTTCTCTGAATTAATAATTTTAAAGAAAATGTAAATATACCAATTAGCGTTTAAAATTAATATTTTTTCAAAGAATAATTTTCAAGAATTGTTTTGTAAAATAAAAGAAACAAAATTTAATGAAATATTAAAATGACAAAAATAATATTTAAGAATTGTTTTGTAAAATAAAAAAAACAAAATTTAGTAAAATATTAAAAAGACAAATATAAAATTTAAGAATTGGTTTGTAAA